AAGTATGTAACAGGCAGAAGGAGGCGTGGCAGACCCCACAAAGTACATATATATACTCTTGATCACGGCGACGAGCTGAGTCGATTTGGCCCTGTCCGTCTGTTTGCCTGTCCGTATGTATGAACGCGTCGGTTTCAGAAGATATAAATGCTAGACTTGAAAAAAATTTTTTTTAATGTCTGTACATAGCGTGCGCACATCGAGTTTATCACTAAAAATCGATAACTAACTAATATTTTGTTATCGATAAAAAAAACCTTATCGAAAATCTGTTCAAAAATTATATCTCCCACATCTTTAAAGCTAGAGTCTCCAAATTATAAAAATTATATCATATCATTTTTATACATATATAACTACATCATCATTTTGTCTTTAAAGATTCACTGTGGTATAGTTCTGCCTGTCAAAATGGATTCGAAAAAGGTAAGTTTATCACATACCACACATTTTGTATACATATACATATGTATGTACATACATACATACATAGTTTTGTAAACTCTTAAATTACTAGAGTTCAACGAAGCTTGCATCATTGTTGAAGTAGACAAAAATATTTGTGACTTTAGTCGAGTTAGATTTGAAGTTCTCCTATATTGTTTCCATAATTGAACATATGTAAGTTGAATCAATAACAATATTGTGCATTATTCTATCTATGTAGATGAAGACCTTTATTAACGCCGAAGAAGATCATTTGGTATCAAAATCAAGTAAAACTACAATAGTATCGGTGAAAAAGCTATCGAAACCCAATTCGAAAGTTAAGACAATTGCGGATACAGAAAATAAGGACTTGGAAACCACAACAGTTGAACCAAAATTGCGAATTGATGCTGATAATCTATCAGTTAATAATGAAGACAATTTAATTGTGCCATTGCAAAAGAAAAAAAATAAATCCAAGAAATCAAAGAAATGCGAATACGATAATCAAAATATATCTGTGGTAAGTATAAATAGAGTAGAAAAGTTAAAAAGGCTCCAGTCGAGACTGCTCGACTAGGCGATGCCCTGAATCCTCTCCAATCTGATATATTCTAATCATTCTGTATTTCATTTATGCACATATACATACATACACATGCACGTATAAAACCGAGCTCTGCCAACTGCACCCTAAGCAGCGACTGCGCTTGGGCGGCGCTGCAATGTGGGGAATATTATGAGAATTTATTTGTTGAATAACTTAATTTTTAGACGTACAATTTTAATGAAACTTTTAGGGGGTGAAGGGGGGCGTGGTATCTAAAGTCTGTAAATTACAAAATGTGTGTATTCATCATATGCATATACACAGTAAATCTGAAGTCTCCAGGTTCAATAATGTTCAAATAAGGCTGAAAAAAACAAAATCAATTTTTCGATTATTCTCGATAAAAAAGTTATCGG